TCTGCACCATGTTCGTCCTTTAGAGACGATATAAACGTCCCTGCCACTGCTCTCGCCTTCACGTAGCCCAGTAAACCACTCGCCAGCGCTCAGCTCCTTTGGTCTACCTTCTCGTAGCACCTGCACTCGGTCAACTTCGAGCCATCCATCCTTCATCCGAACGGCGAGTCCATACCGCCCTGCTTCTTTCCAGGCAGAGAACTCCCCCACAGATTTGATTTGATGAGAGAGAACTTCTTTTGTTGTTGGGGAGAGTGGAGTCGAGGAAAGAGAGACAAAGGAGAGACGGTAAGGCTTGTGGTTAGCAGTTATTGGTTTATTTTCGGGAGGAGGGGAAGGGAGGAAATAAGTCCACAGATGATGCTGTGGTTCGGTCGTTTTGGTTAGCAGCAATCTACAGGCAAGATGGAGCGCAACCTTGTGCCGCAGTGCGCGGTTGTATAGATGAAGTGTAGCTCTGTCCCACTCATCCCAGTTGATACGAGCATGATCTCGTGTGATCTTTGGTGCGTGGGAAACACCATTCATATCTTGAGTCTGTATTTGAGCCTATGATCCAGTCAATACTGGTTCAAAGGAAAATGATAGATGGCTTACCTTGTACTTATCAAAATTTTTCAAGACGTCGACAGTTAAATCTCCCGCGCTCTCTTTCAACCTCCCCAGCAAAATTGCATAATCATCCTCCAGACCCACGTTTGTGTGCACCTGTCCCAAAATCCGGCCTCCATCGAACGCTCCTTTCTGCAGCTCCTGAATCGTCACACCAGTGTGCTTGTCACCGTTCAACAATGTCCAAAAGACAGGTGCCGGTCCTCTCCAACGTGGCAACAGACTGGGATGAACATTGAGAGCTTGGGTGTGAGGAAAAGCATCGATAACTGAGCTGGGGATAAGGTGGCCGAAAGAAGCTGAGAGCAAGAGATTCGTGGGCGATCTAGTATCCGAAAACGTAGAAGGGAGCGTGAATGGACGAGTCCATGTGGTAGTAGGGAGGGAGAGACGTTGCGAAAGCGTGAGAAGTTCGGGTATGTATAGCTCTTGTCGATTCCGTCCTATTCGTTTGGAAGATGGAACTACAACGTGGATGTGAGAGGCCAAATCTTTCTAGAATAACTTCAGTGAGCATTCTGTAGAGGGTAAACGGGCCAATGCGATCATAGCGCGGCAACAAAGATAAAAGGCGAAGTCGATTTAGAATGTACCGAGAGGCAACGCCTTGGTTCGCTGGATTGTAATTGCGTCCCAATCTTGAACATTATCAAAAAAGATAATGACATCTTGTTTAAGCGCGGTGGGATAAATGATACCCATGATGACGGAAATTCTACTTACACTACGTGAAATGAAGGCATGAAAGGCTGCTGCCAAATTCATGACTTGATAAAGACAAGGCTCACAATGCAAGCACTGGGATTCTATCTGCATCTCTTTCCTCGTTTGATTGCTCATTACGACGAGACGAAGCTTCTACCTCACTTAACATAACTGAGAATGTCACAGAGGTGTTTGGTAGGAGAAAGTAGAAACTCTTGACGTCTCTTGCACACGACCAGCATTAAAGTTGGAGAGGGACGCGACAAGCAAGGGAACGTCAGGTAGCGCATCTCTTTAAAACATATCAAACAACTATACGACAAAGCGTTTGGATTTCTCGGGACACATGATTGCCATTTCATACGAATACCATACGCAACATGCAAGTTTTGAAAAAGATGATGTGGGGAAATGCTGAATATACTAATACCGCTTGGAGTAAGACAGCTGAATATGATTTTTGTGAGAACGTATATGCCAGAAATGGGAGCAAACGTTTGCGCAACGCAAATTGAATAACATAAGAGACAAACGATGCCTTTTCACACTTCTTCATACAAAACGCCAACAACGACGCTATATTCTAGTCATTCAAGCAGATTCTGCAGAAAGCTTCAACGTTGCTAAACACAGAAACACACCTGGATAACTTTCTCCAAAATACTGCACGAAAAGTCATCGGATCCAAAGAAGAGGATGTTCCACTTCTTCCCAGTCCCTCCCACCGCTTTCGTAGACGAGAATGCGCGTCTTCCTGTTCTCCCTGGGCTTAATCTCAGTATATGATATCTTGCAGGCATCGTTGTTGCTACTTGCAACATAATTAACCAGGCTGGAAGTGTCCCCTATGCTACCCAAGGGGCTCACCTGAAAACACCAAACTGCCAGCCCGTCCAGGATTCGTTCTCCAGAGCAAGATGTCGAACAAACGCCCTCCCTCGCCCGAAGGAACACTCATAATCTCTAAGCGGTCGCGTACAGATGGATCAGGAGAAGAGCAACAGATGGTGGTTGCCAGTGCAGGGGAAGGGAAGGGAGCTCTAGTGCAGGGTGTGAAGAGAACGAGTGGATTGCAGGCGCCTATAATGTGCCTCACCGGACATCAAGTAAGCTATCTTTTGCTTCAAATTGGGGCCACCTGCTGTCGTGGTGTTTTAACGCGTTTTTATATGAATTCTCTTTGAGCCTGAGCCTGACGTACCTTGCAAGCTCATTGTATCCTTGAGCGAGCCTGTGTCGCGTTCGTTTAGTGATGGAACACTTGTCGTAGAACGCAGGAGTACTCAGCATGTTCCTGCTCTAAAAGCCAGAAAATCATTAGGTTGCATACCCCTTTGCTTTCAGTGTGTTTGATTAATTGTCCCTCATTCTTCTGGTTGGACAACCGGACCAAAAATCAAATGCGCGTTCCCTAGCCAAACCTGCAAGTAAGCGGTGGCTCCTTGGTATCTATGTTCCAAATGAGAATATCCAGGCTCGTCAGCTCGTATACTTTGGTTAAGGCGGAGTTGTGACAAGAGAAACTCTTTAACGCTCGCAACTTCGCGCTATGTCCAGTACTTACTACATTGAAGCACCTGCTAACACTTTTGGCATTAGGGTGAAATACTTGACCTGAAATTTGATCCGTCCGGCTCGACTCTCGCCTCCTCGTCAACCGATAAGCTCGTTTGTGAATGCCTCTCCCTCCTTGGATGAAATATTGCCTAACATTCGCTTGAAATGGTCCCCCAGATCTGTGGCGCGTTTACGGTGATTGCGCTAACTATGGCGTCCTTAAAGGCTCGAAAGGGGCAGTGACTGCGATAGAGTGGTCGCAGGAGGGAGGAATGGGCGGGACAAGCGATAAGGTATTGAAATCTTCGGGGCAAATGAATAGGCACCTGACCTCACGACGGACAGATTTTTGCTTCAACAGCTTCTAATCAAATGCTGCTTTTTTCGCCCGTCACGGGGGAACTTGTGAGGAGGTATCGGTCACACCGGTACGCACTCTTCTGCAGTGCGAAGGGAGAACTCACGGTTTGTGATTCAAGGGGCATACTGAATTCTCTCTCTCTTTCGCCAGTCGCTCCCAACCTTGTGGCGACAGGATCGGACGACTGTATGTCCCTTCTCGCTTTACAATACTACTACTGAGATGTGTGCCCGTTGAAAGGCACTGTCCGCATACATTCTCCTAATGAAGCAGCAGAGATAGATAAAATTGATATTGGCCACCCGGTCACTGCAGTCGAGTGGTTGGGAGGAGCAGGTTCGGAGATCGCGAGTTCGTTCTGTTTTCATCACTTCATGTGCGAAGACTGAATCAATCTGTTGTTCGATCAGTTGGAGGAGTAGACAATGATATTCACATCTACGATCTCCGCAAGAAAGCCGTCCTCTACTCCCTGCGAGGACATCAGGATACGATCACCTCTCTTCGGTTGTCGCCTAACAAAAGTTTCCTTCTCTCCTCTTCGTCAGACTCTCTAGTCAAAATATGGGACATCAAGCCATTCGTACCTGTCCTCAATCCCATAGATCCTGTCCTGCCTCCGCGTCTTTATCGCATATTGGGGTGGGCACCGGCTGGATTTGAGAATTGGCTGAGACAAGTCAGTTGGAGTAACCCGAGCTACGGGCATAATGGAAAGACATGTTCGCCCCCTCCCTCTGCTGCAGATGTAGTGGCTGATACCTTTCTCGATGGAAAGTTGTTGCTGTGGGTTCGGCGGATAGGTCTGTTACGATTTGGGACTCAGAAAGTGGAGAGATAAAGTGCGTCGCGTCTCTTAACTGCCATCAAAAGCTTTTTACCGATAAAATGTGGTGTAGATTCAAGCTTCCCGGTCATCGTGGTACAGTGATAGCGACAGATTTCAGCCCAAGAGAACCCATCATTGCTTCAGGAGGTGTTGACAAGTTGATCTACTTGGGGGAAATCGATGTGCGGTAGTCTATCCTCTGCAGCCCATCTGTAGGATTGGAAGTGTACAAAAGTGAATATAGCATTTCGTAATGTGTCGCAAACAACATCTACAAGACGGCGATAAGCATGAGCGTCTAGATTACAAAACATCTAAGGGTGTCGAGGAGATATGCTCATCGAGCCAAAGGATACACCGAGACCTTCTTCCTCTATCCGTTTCCCAATGTGAACGTATCCGACGTCT